GACCGCTTGTCTGCAAGGAACGCTGCTGTGCTTGGGTGTATTCTTCGAGTTCCTGGGACCGAATCGGGGACATGGTCATGAGGGACATGATAAGGATACGGTGGTTGTGAGAGGAGAGGATGGGGAAGAAGAGGTGGTGCACGAGGATGATCAGGACTTGCCGTCCGAGGAGACGCCTTTATTGAGGGACCAGTGATGGTCATCTTCATTTGATTAGCTGAAGGTCCAGATTGCTATCTCTGGATGTTGGTATGTGATTGGTTGGTCGGTCGGTTGGTTCGAAGATCCAAAAAGCGCATCAGTGTACTTCTTCTGAGATCGTCCCGTTCTGTTCAGATGCCATGTATAATCCTACCTACATACCTTGGATAGACTCTATACTTCTTGGCTGCAATGTATCAATCGCTGCTGGCGCAGCTTATTATGTATGATTGACTGCTCCGTTCTAGGCTCAAACATGACAACGAGAGAAAGATAGATAGAGTATATATGTATTAGTAAACAAGGAAGAGAATAATTGAAACTCTAATGATAGTAGAAGAAAGGGGAATAGATTGAAAGACAGCAACCAAAAAAGCACATGTCAATCCTCTTTGAAAACTAATTCATTATCTTCATCTCATAAAAGCTGCCTACTAGAATAGGCCATGCCATGGGCACCCCTAAATCAACTCACACCAAGCTCCCGCCAATTCCTCGCGTCGCAATTTAACCCATGATGAGGCGGAAGATGTCGTTGAAGACGTAGTAGCTGCCACCCTCGGGGCTGAGAGTGAAGGTCTGGGTGTAGTTCATGGGGCGCGCCTCCTCGTCGACCTGTAAATGAGAAGAGTAGAGAATAAGTCATTCTGTTTCTCGAACAACTAACGAACCAACCGAGGTCCGGGTTTGGGGGGGGGGGGGGGGGGGGGGGGGGGGGGGGGGGCTGGGTACATACGAGAAGAGCACCGGTAACCATGACAATGATGCTGCCATTGACAGAGGGCTGAGCATCAAGAGTGGAGATCTGGTGCTGGACCTTCTGGAAGGCAAGGCCCTGTTTTTATTACATCGCATGTGTCAGTAAACCAGCCATGGGGTCTTCACGAAGGATGGGATTTCTACTAACCATCAGCTTCTCCATGATAGGAGCAACACCCATCTGGGAAGAGGTCTCAAATGTGAGCATGGAGTTATCGCGCTATCAACCAGGGCGTAAATGCGTTAGCCATTGGGAGCATGTCGTCGTTAACAGGGAGTTGCAGGGTGGCTTAGCGTACGTAGAGACCGGCCAGCTGCTGACGATCCGAGTCAAAGGTCTGGTAGTAGAATTGCACAAATTGCTCTGTTCGTAGCGATATATGTTAGGCCATGTTATGGGCAGTCTGCTTGGGTAGACTCGGGTATCTGGCGATGCAAATGGAATAGGAGGGGGTCTGTCTGATGCGACGATGGCATGCAGTCATCCCTCTGTTTGACGGGACAGGGAAACCAAGGACGAAAGATGATAAAACGTACGTGCGATATTCTGAAAGTCTAGAGGTTAAATCCATTGCGTTAGCTTCCACTGTCCCGATGATATGTGAAGGTGGTTGTGTGTTTGCCCATGGAGGGGCGCCCAAGAGCCTCAGGGAGGGGCAGCAAAACATCAGATGAGATGGACGGAGCGTCGCATCGAGGAGAGCGATGGCGCAAGAGTGGACTTACCGGCCATTTTGAAGGATGTGGTATTTGTGAGACCTAAAAAGAGGAGGATGCGAGAAGATGAGGCAGTGGCAGTGGGATTAGACAGGAAGGAAAGAAGTCGAGGATGAGCATCAACATCAAAAGTATTTCCGTCGCGAGGGGAATTGTGGGGCGCCGCCAGGGTCGGTGCCTTAAAAGACGCTTAAGGCAGCAAGCAACATGGCCCTCAACCACGTTAAGTGACTTACTTCTCATGGCTTCACTTTTTCACTCTGGTCAACTTACGAATTCTACATCTGCCAACGGAATCACTGCACGGTACATGGCTGGAATATACGTACTAGTACGAGAAAGGTATCGTAACCCGACATTATAACCTAGTAGTAATATAGACATATCATTCCATCTTCATCCATGTATCCCAGCAGCCCTATATCACTCGTCGTCCGAGTCCGCAAACATATCTTCGGCTTTAGGTCGCGGCTTTCGGGCCGGAGGTTGGTACTCCGATTGAGACGGTGGCTCGGCTGGTTTTTGAGGTTGCTCTTCCGACTCCCTAGGATCTTCCTCTGGGGCAGAGTCTTCTTCCATTGGCTCCCCATCCGGTCCTTCCAGGTCGCTGTCCTCCATGGGCTCTCCATCAATATCACTCATAGATTCCCCATCAAAGCTTTCAGCTGCGACCGGTGCGGCCGCCGGCTTGTCAACATCCATCCGGTGAGGGTGCGTCTCAGGGGCTCGCCCAGGGTCAAACTTCCCGGAAGCAGCATCTTCATCCACTGTCTTCCAGCGGCTCTTGTTCTTGGAGAATGCACTCGCGGCGCGTTCAGCTTCGGCCTTCTCCCGCTCTTCTCGCAGCTCCTCTTCTGTGAGCGGTGGCTTCTCAAAGATCTGGAAGAAGTGTTCTTGGCTCGACTGCGGAAACACGCACCAGCCTTCCCACAGATGAAGAAGAGAGCCAACGCTGCGCTTCCACTTCTCGGCCCTCAGTCGTCCCCATCGGAAATCCTTCTCAAGTCTCCCCAGATGCTCGAACACCTGGTGTGTTTTCAACGCCGATTCGAATAGCTGCCGATACCGCCAAGCATGTCGCACGCCGCTCGTGGCGGAAGATGAGAGGATGTCGGAAACTAAATAAAGCCCAACTAACTTGGCAGCGGATGTATCCAGATTCTCCTTCGTCGATGGCCGCCCTTCCTCGGCGGGGTTGTCCTTGGCTAGGTCTGCTTGTTCCCGACGGGCAATTCCTGTTTCTGCCTCGCGATCAGGATTCGCCCCAGTGTAGGCAAAAGGGTTCATGATGTTCGACACAATCATTTCCACAACTTCGTCGGCCCCTGCGCCGGCGTGCTCAATGGCGAACGCGGTAACTCGAGCAACGTCACCCTTTCGTAATTTGGCATGCGTAGTAGGAAGGCGAGCAAGCAGATGGGTTAGCTTGGCCTTCTGTAAAGGATTCATATAGCCCAGTCCCTCATTGGCGGCGCCGGGGCCCTCTGCTAGTGGTGCACCGCCAAGGTTTCGTCTTTCGTCTTCATAATCAGACATCTCTTCGTCAGACGAGTCATAGTCATCGTCCGTTACAAACTCATCCATGCGTGTCGTATACTCGAATTTAATATGTGCCTCTGGTGGGGCCCAGCTCGCACCACCCTCGAATAGGGTGCATGAGGGTTGAGGCCTGCCTCGTCGATGTGCGGGAGGGCGGGTATCAGTGAGGATCTCCCACAATTTCCACCTATAGTACACACCACCAGCACTTCTAGCATTCCAGATCCATGCCCATTTCTCGTCCCTTTGAACCTCGGGTCTGCTCATAAGCAGTGCTTCAAACTCCGGTCCGTAACTCAAAAGATTCTCCAGTGTCTTGTGTATCAACTTCAGTTGTTTCAGATCCGACGGCGCCTTCACCTCAACCTGAGTAGAGGGACCAGTTCTCCCATAAGCCGACCCGTACGACGATGGCGGCGCGAACCCTCCACGATGCAACCCGGGCGGTGGGGCGCGATTCAATCGTCCAGGGATATCGGGCGTTATCGACTTGGCGCCAAAGGGAAGAGAGCTTGCGGAAGACAGGCCGACAGTGACCGGCATCGTCGATCCAATAGCGGCAGAAGAAAGGTGTCTCGAGATCGTCAAATAGTATCCCCATCCTAGGTATCTATTCTGTAGAGCGCTAACAGTACTATCGATATCCGACGCCGCAGACTCATTCGCCAGAGTCACGATAGCGGCTACCGATTTCCGGTCGTTTATCGGCTGACCTGGGGGGCGTAGGATCTTGACATTGTCGACAGTCAAAACAGAGGGTATCAGAGACTTCAGCACTGAGGGTGAGGTTCCCGGCGGTAGAGATGCAAGATATAATGTAGGTTTCGCAGCAGCCCGTTCAGCCTCTTTCGCATCAGCAGCTCCTTCATCCTCATCATCTGAAGCACGAAAAGCCGACGCGGCAACCGATGGACCCGGTGCAGCATTATCAAATCCCAATACCCCCGACGCTGTATCCCGATTCCGGTGTACTGGCTGAAACCCTTCATGTGTGCGCTTTCTCGGGGGAGGAGGTCCCAGAGTACCAGGACCGCTCATGCGCGGCCCCGAGCTCGTGAAATGCCGTTTCCCAGGGCCTCCAAAGCCGGGGTTTTTGGGCGGAAATCGGCTTAGTCGTCCATCAGAGGAATGTCGGTCGTGAGCTGGCGAGTCATCTTCGAATGACTTGACGAAGTCCTCATATACGGCGGCGGTCTCGGCTTGCTCGCGGGCTCGTTTGGCTTCCGCTTCGGCTTTCTGGCGTTCGAAGAGCGACTTTTTGGGGATTGCGGACAGTTTGGCCGAGATGTCCGGGAATCCCTTGGATTTCGACTCGTCCGACATGGCGGCCAAGCTTCAGCGGCAAAAAGCCTCTTGTTGGGGGAGTTGGTATGATGGACAGAGGGGGGATTTGGAGAAGCTGGTCGGTCGGTCGGCCTTGGGCGCGGAGGCGGAGATAGACCGGTCGCAGCCTGAGGCATGCCTGCATCACGCATAGCTACTGCAACTGCGGTGTCTACATTCCAATTCCATCTGCATGTCCAATTCTGATAATCTTGCTCATATTATTTCATTATTGGGAGGCTGTTAAGTTCTTTCTTTTCAACATGTATACATGCGTCTCTTAGTATAACGCCTATTGCATTACCTACGACTTTGACGGATAGCCATGGAGCATTTGCTGCAATGTCGCTAGAATGACCAATTCAAAGCCAACAAGCATCCCTCAGTGAGTAAAGCAACTTGCTGCGATATGTGCCTGCCATAAAGGACCAAAAAAAGGGTAAAAGCAAAAAAGATGGGAATGAGCCCAGCCCGGCTCGATCGGACAACCTTACGATCTGGAGTCGCTGTTGTTGTGGTTAGTGGATGTTGGAACCATGATTGGATTCAGTGAAACTTACTACGCGCTACCAATTGCGCCATAGGCCCATTTGTTGAAGGAAACTTCCCGTAGGTCCAACCATATCGTGCTGGTGAAGGATCCCTATAGAGTATGTGCGCTCGCCGACCTTCCTAGGAGATAATGTCGATGATGGCATGAGTTATTGATTATAAGTAATGATACTAATCCATTATAAAGTTATCACTCCATATGGTATCTTCCGTATATTTTTGCAACTAAGGAAAAGGAGGTATGCTAGCTTTGTTGACCCCGCGTTCTTCGTCACGGTTTTCACGCACGCAGTACGCTCTGTTGTACTCTCACTACTTATATACGTCCAGTGGAATGGCTGTGCTCGGGCTGTTGTATGTCCTGGTGCCTGTGTGGCGATCATCTAGGTTCATGTGCCGCTATTGGCTTTCTTGTGGGTTGGTTCAGATTGATATCCTCGGTCAAAGTGTGACTGTGTGGAGATATATTTCCGTAGGATCATGCACAAGTCATACCACCAACACTGGGCACTACTACTGGTGTTACTACTTTCAAGGCCAAAGATTAGTATGGTGCCCCAAGCGCACATGCTAGCTACAGACAATACCAGTTCAGACCCCTCGTCCTTGCCCCCCAATGCAAGTAACATCCAGCTACGTGTATATCATTGAATACAGTTGTACCACGGCCGGAACATCTACCCGGAAGCGCTCACGTGGAGGGCTTACCAGTATCGCGAACTCCTCATGCATGACTACATACCAAGTCCCCGAAATCGTGTCGTACATCTGCTTGAACATGGGATACCAGACAGACGGGGACACCCTATGAGCGCCCCTATTGTTGTTGAGTGTTGCGAACGTTCTCGTGCTCAGACCTCCAAACTGGCGCGAGAACATGCAGAGCTCAGATGACGACCCTACCGCAAGGCCAAAGGGACGAACCAAGCGTGGGATTGAGCATTGGATGTATCAATGCGTCACTAAATGACTAGAAGATGCCTGACTTGTGGAACAGAATCCATGCATATCAAGTCGCACGCTTGAAGTAAGTGATTTGTCCACCCACCTACTAGGCATATCTGCAACGATATCGGGGGAAAAATGGCAACAATCACTGCACATCATCCTGAAATAACCCTATATGCACGGAGCAGTGAAGGGAGAATCCCGACGACTCCAGGCCCAGGCAGTAAATGCTGCCCATCCACCAGTAGACGTGTAACAGCACAGCAGATCTGTTTATACCAGCTGGAGAACATGCAGGCCCCGGTAAAATCCGCGTGTGTTATCGGACTATCCCAGAAGCACCTCTGGGCCGATTACGAGTATCGACAGTTCCACCAGGTCTTGGGCGATTCCTGGAACCACGACCCAGGGACTGATGTCAGACAGTTAGCAGCAGCCTTATGCCCACATAGGCCTGTTTCCTCGACTAAAAGGTTGAAATCTGACTGGCGGGCGATACTTTCACAATCCAGCTTGAGGAGTTGGGAATGTGGACTGAATGGAAGGTCTGGCCGGGCTTCAGACAGATCCTGCGGACTCCATCGGTTGTAACTGCTGAGAGTATGTTGTTTCTCCCCACAGGACGTCCAGGGTACCTGACAGCGGATAACCCAACCACATGGCACACCAATGTAGGAAGTTCACCATGGTGGGCCATTTAGAACCACCAGTCTCAGCCAGTTGTGAACTGTGAGGGGTTATGGTGGCCTCCGGGTCTTTCTCTTGATTGTTGTGGCCTGGCGATTGTTGGTTCTCAGCACATTGCAGTCTGACTGGTGAATTGTTAGCAGCCAAGTCTCCACCTTCAGATCCACTGATTCTTTGGAATCGGTGTGTGGAACCATCGACGGGCAACTTCCTCAACTGTTGTTTATCGTTGAACGGTTCAGCCAATCGGGCCGGACACCAAAAGTCGAATGGATGAATGATGCCGCTTAATCATCTTCCTTGATGAGAAAGAAACCCTGCTTGTACAATGAACAGCTTAACGTTGTCGATCATCTGTAGTTATATCAACAAACAAAGGTAATGAATTGACTGGTATATCCTCGACAGAGGCAAAGCCCGCCATTGTCTGAGACAGGCACAAGACGACGGCTGTTTCATGGCCTATCCATTGCTTAGTTCTCCATCTTCCCGAAGTCATAGTTGTTATAAAAGACTCTAGAAAGCCATGGGATCCCTGTGTTACCCTGGCCTGTAGTCTGATTGGGCTGGTATATAGACATCTCATGCCGTCCACGACAGAATAGGTCAATATCAAATATAACGAGCTGAAATCATAAATCCGACATAGACCCCTGTCCGTGCTATCATTCGCACCAATCATTCGCTATGGGCAATTGCATTTCTTCATATTGGGGGAAGTGGGCATTGTGCATCCCAAATAACGAGACCTCGGCCAGATCCTGGTCTCCCACAGGCTTCAGTGTTAGGTCACTTCTATCCCAGTCACTATCTGAGCGGCCATCAATCGAGCCGTCACCAACCGAGCAGCCAACGACTGAGCAGGCAGTAGCCGACGAACCCCCCAAAGCACCTCGGAATCTCGATACTCTTCCTGCAGAGATCTTCGATATGATAGCCAGCTACCTTGACCAAAATGAGCTCTGTAGCCTCTACCTCGTTTCTCAAAGAGTGAACAAACTGACATACTCGTCCATCCTGGCTTCCTTACATGCCAAGAAACACACCGGACTCACACCCAAGGAGATCGAAACCATCCACACTCTGGCGACTGACCCGACCATCAACCACCTTCCTAGGTCGTTGCATGTATCTGTGCCACATATCGGACATAGTGCTGCACGGAGGGTAAGTTGGGGACGCCTGTCATACAGCCGAACGGCCCTCCATGAACTCCCAGAGATGAAAGCATTGAGGCAGGACTTGAATCGGCTGGTGAACTGCAAAGAGTTTCATTTCACGCTCACCAGGGCCCGTTCGACCTTGGGGAACAAAGTCATGTACATTGAGGACGCCCTTTATGCGGTCCTTGCTGAAAACACCGTGCCAGTCGAGAGACTTATACTTGACAGCAGGGTTGTCAAGTCGCGGGCAAGCGAGAAGTCAATGATGCACCCGAATCTTGTTCGGGTGTGGAGGCGCTTGAAGTCGCTCAAGATTACTGAGTCGCCCTCACTGGATTTCTCAAGAGGTACCGCTCTTTCCCACATCCTTCAGCACGCCCCAGAACTTCGAAGCCTTTCCCTCCACAGTCTAGCTGACACCCCTGTACGTCGCTCGACGATATTCAGATTAGCCAGCTCCGCAAACATCGGTACGAACCGGCTTGAGAAGCTGAGACTCACGTATCTCACAGTTGAGCCGGAAGATCTGATCATGTGGCTGACACGCTTTAACAGTACTCTGAAGATACTGGACCTTCACTCCATTGGCCTGGCGCACGGAAGCTGGGTCAATGTAGTCCAGCACATCCTAGACTCATGTCCTGACTTGCAGAAGGTTGTCGTGGACTACCCATGGGTTTCTGAATGGAACCGGCGTGCCTGGGATAGATTCGAGTGTTCGGGACCCGACATTCGAATAAAGTTAGAACAGTTCAAGCAGAGAGCCACCGAAGCCAATCTCTAACTTGCCGACGGGCAACGTCCTGGCAAGTGTCCACTCGTTGATGTACAAAAGCACCATCCCTGTACATGTTTGGGTTTGAAGATGCTATCTAATACATAGGTTTCTTTTGTTTGTTGTGTGTACATTTCTGTTGACATTCCCATTTTCTTGTCGTGTCTATCGCATGTTTGAGGTTCCGATCTATGTGATGTAAGCTGTCCACCCTTTCGTTGTTTGCTTTTCTTTTGTCAGTTTTTCTACTCTTATTTCTTTTTCCCACCCTTCTCTATCATTGGCCCCTGATTAGATGGTTCCTGACAGATAGGTACCGGATGCCATGGGTCGCCCACCAGCCAGACGACCCCAAGGTATATATGACCAGGAGGTGGTGCATGGTAGCGAGCCAGGCTACCAAATCACCTGTTTAGTAGTAGACTATTGCACTTAGCATAATAATAAATCAGTAATTGTGTTCATCCACTGGGCCTGTCACTTGACACGAAGCCTGTGCAACAGAACGGAAACGGCGAAAAGTGCGTCCGTCCATTCCTCATGATATAATCGCCCGACCGCATGATAACCGACCGCGTAGATCTTTAAAGATGCGTGCATCACTTCCCAAGCCAGGGATTGCGCCCGCCTTTCCGAATTCGGCCAGATAGAGTTTTCCGAGCCATGCACTACTTCGACTAGGTCCTCGCGGGTTCCACCGGGAGCACCTCACGAACCCTTCTTCAGAGGTGAGCGGATATGACTAGACCCCTCTGTCTCCAGTAGTGGCCGCTAGTTTGGTTGGTCCTGGCCGTTTTAGTTTTTCTCGTTCCTCGCTTTTGCCTCCAGCGACTCCAGCGAGACAGTCCGCCTCCTGGAGGTTGTCCGAACTCGAGGCGGATCATTCCCGATCGAGGCAAAGAAGCTGTGGGTTTCCATGTGTACGGTTAGTTTAGCTCAATTTGGCAGATTTGACTGTGGAGGATAGGGCGGATCAAGGGACCAGGGAAGATGAATGAATGGAAAGGAGTAGTAGTCTAGTCGTAGAAGCAGAAGAAAAAGAAGCGCCCACGAAGCAGAGAAACAAAATATCCACCGGTCGGATCAAATCACCTATGGAAACTTGGAAAGGTCCGTAGACGAGATACCTTTGGAATTAGCGAAATCGTGCTGCCAAGGAACGGGATGAATCCGGAGCACCCCGCTAGGGACTAGGGGAAGAAGCGACCGTCGCCTCTGCTGCAGGCGCCTCTGACGACGATGGGAGGGGAAAATGTGGTGGTGTTTCAGGCCCCAAGTTGCTTCGCAAGGAGGGAGAATACTACTCCGTAGAGGGAAGAGAGAGAGGAGAGGAGAAGGGGAGTGGGTGCGTAAACTCGAGTGGTCACACCTTCACGCCGGTTGTTTGTCGGGGACTTTTGCCTCATAACTTTCAAGGCTGGAGAGGTCTGAAAAAAACGACAAGAACCATGGTCAGCGTTTCA